AAGATAAGAAATTGCGAAGTTGTTACAAATTGAAATATTCAGTATACACTGAAGAGAGCATTATTTATGCCTATCATTAACAAAGATTAAAAGGAACAACTAGATCAATTTGAAATATGAAATTGTTTGAGAATACTGTAGATCTGTTACTCTCCACCTTCATAGTTTTATAAGCTAGCAAAAATCCTTATATGTTTATACAAATATGTGTAAAATTTTATGATATACAGAAACATAATAGTAAAACTGCCATGTGAGCAACAGGTTAAATGTGTGTTTATACAATAAGGAGAAATAAAAAAAATTTAAGCAGTTGAATTTTTTGTTTTTTTAAGGTTAAGGAAGCAGCCATTATGGAGATGTGCTTTAATATATATTCCTTAGACAGGGAACATTACTAAGTCCCTAAATTGAAAAGTAGCCATTGAGCCTGCTCTAGTGGCACACGCCCTTAATCCCAGCACTCTGCAGAAGCCAGCCTGGTTTACAAAGTGCGTCCAGGACAGCCAAGGCTACACAGAGAAATCCTGCCTTTGGGGGAAATAATAAAAGAAAAGGAAAGGGAAGGAAGAAAGGTAGATGATGTCTAAGGAACACATGTACATAATGTATGTACATAGTCATGCTAGTGTCATTTAATAGGTATAAGGGGGATGGATGGATGGATGCAATGAAGTCAAATAAGGAGCTGGAGAAAGATTGTTTCTACTGAGTGAGTTTGATATTATTTACACTGCAATAAGAAACACCAAGCTCTGACTTACAACAGGTTGATCATTTCACTTTGGTTATTAATTTGCAGTTACTGGGGTGTTCAGGAAGAGTTGGGAAATTCAGTAAGATGATTACATGAACAATGTAGATGAGAGATCATGAAACTTGAGTGATAGTGGTTTAGATAGACAAGGGAAGATACAGAGTCTATTTTAGAGGTAAAGCCAACAGTTTGCTGATGGTGTGGATTATTAAATGGGAGTCAGCATAACTCTTGAAATTGGTTTTGCTTTTGTTATTTGAATAGATGGTAATACATTTACTAGACCGATAAGACTAGAAAGGGCTTATTTTTTCCTTTTTAAAAAATATTAGTTACAGTTTATTAACTTTGTATCTCAGGTGTATCCCCTCCCTCATTCCCTCCGAATCCCACTTTCCCTTCTTCATCTCCTCCCTGCCCCTTTCCAAGTCCACTGATAGGGGAGGACCTCCTCCCCTTCCATCTGACACTGGTTTATCAGGTATCTTCAGGACTGGCTACAAAGTCCTCTGTGGCCCAGCAGGGTTGCTCCTCCCTGGAGGGAAGGGGGGGGTGTCAAAGAGCCAGCCATTGAGTTCATGTCAGAAATAGTTCCTGTTCCCCTTATTAGAGAACACACTTGGATACTGAGCTACCATGGGCTACATCCTGAGCAGAGGTTCTAGGTTATATCTATACATAGTTCTTGGTTGGAGAAACAGTCTCTTAAAAGACCCCTGTGCCCAGATATATTTGGTCCTTGTGGAGCTCCTGTCCTCTCCAGGTTATATTAAGTCTCCCTTCTTTCATATGATTCCTGCACTCTGCCGAAGGTTTGGTTATGAGTCTCAGTATCTGCTTTGATACACTGCTAGGTAGATTCTTTCAGAGGCCCTCAGTGGTAGGCTCCTGTCCTGTTACTTGTTTTCTCCTACATCCAGTGTCCATCCCATTTGTCTTTCTAATTGAGGGTTGAACATCTTACCCAGGGTCCTCTTTCTTGTTTATCTTCTTTAAGTGTATAGATTTCAGTATGTTTATCATATCTTATAGGCCTATATGATATATACCATGTGTGTCTTTCTCCTTCTGGGATACCTCATTCAGGATGATCTTTTCTAGATCCCACCATTTGCCTGCAAATTCCATGATTTCCTTGTTTTTAATTGCTGAGTAGTATTTCATTGTGTAAAAATACCACAATTTCTGTATCCATTCCTCAGTTGATGAACATCTGCGTTGTTTCCAGGTTCTGATACAAATAAAGCTGCTACAAACATGGTTGAGCAAATGTCCTTGTTGTATACTTCAGCATCTTTTGGATATATGCCTAGGGGTGGTATAGCTGAATCCTGAGGAAGCACTATTCTTGATTGTCTGAGAAAGCGCCAGATTGATTTACAAAGTGGTTGTACCAGTTGACATTCCCACCAGCAATGGAAGAGGGTTCTCTTTTCTCCACAACCTCTCCAGCATGTGTTGTCATTTGAGTTTTTGATCTTAGCCATTCTGATGGGTGAAAGGTGAGAAATCTCAGAGTCGTTTTGATTTGCATCTCTCTGATGTCTAAAGATGTTGAGCTTCTCTTTAAGTGTTTCACTGCCATTCAGTATTCCTCTACAGAGAATTCTCTGTTTAGTTCTGTAACCCGTTTTTTAATTAGATTGCTTGATTTATTGCTTTTTAACTTCTTTAGTTCTTTACATATTCTGGATATCAGCCCTCTGTCATTTATAGGGTTGGTGAAGATCCTTTCTCAGTCTGTAGGCTGTCGTTTTGTTCTGAGGACAGTGTCTTTTGCTTTACAGAAGCTTTTCAGTTTCATGAGGTCCCATTTATTGATTGTTGATCTTAGAACCTTTTGCTTTTAAAAATCACGATACAACCACTCGTCAAAATGTGTGAGATAAAAGGGAAATGAACCCTAGTTAAAAGCCTACAGGCACTTAAACACATGAAGTCTGATATATAGGAACAGATGAGCAGAGGAAGAGGAGCTAGGTAAAGGTTGACAAGAAGCAGTGAATTTAGTTCATAAACAGCTGGAATAGAAACACTGAGCGTGGTCAATTTTGTTAAACATTACTGCAGTGGAAAGTAAGATAACCAGTGATCTTTGACTCAGTAACACAAATTTGAGCTCACTTAGGATAATACTGAGATAGCATTCTTGGTGGAACTTGGGAACTAGGAGTCTGATTATATTGGTTAAGAAGTGTAGGTGGCCAAGCGAGATGGCGCATACCTGTAATCCCAGCACTTGGGAGGCAGAGGCAGGCAGATCTCTGTGAGTTTGAGGCCAGCCTGGTCTACATAAGTGAGCCCAGAACTGCCAGGGCTCTGTTACAGAGAAACTCTGTTTTCAAAACCTAAGAGTAGAGGTAGTTAGTGTGAGATTGTAGCAACTATAGACATTTCTTTCAGGTGTTTTTATTTTAAAATAGAAAGGGTTTGGACTGGAGTGATCAAGTGGAGTTGGAAGAGATGCCAGAGCACATTTACAAGATTACAGTATCTGATCTTGCAGAGCAGAATAATATCACATGGAGAAGAGAAAGGAATACAAGAATGAGTAGAGTTAGACAGTTACAGCAGAGAAGGAAAAGTTAAAAAAAGTGTGGATGAAGCAACTAACAACTGTTAGATTTAGGGATAGAATCATGATGTAGTTCTGGTTTTTATTTATTTATTTTTTCTTTTATCCAATGTGAAGTAGTTTTTGGAGGATAGTGAGGTTGTAGGAGACAAGATGATAATTAGTCTAACAAACATGCGAAGTTAGTATTAGGCATTATTGCATGTGAGTATGTGTCAGTTCAAAGACACTAAATGTGTGCATGTGTACTTGTGATAATTGGGTGTATGTTCAGAAAGTTGGTTTTTGTCTGGCACTGTGTCAGGCAAGTCTGTTAATGAGAGAAAAGGAAAAGATTCTTGTATATAATGAAGGGATGAGACTATAAAAGACCTCAAATCTAGAGAGTAAAGATGTGAAAGGAGGTGATACAGTTATGTATCTCTAATCTGAATACCAAATGTTTAACACTCAAAAATTTTTTTGGGTTCCGACACAATGGAAACTCTCACACCTTAACTCATGTAAGGGGTTATAGTCAAAATGTGGGTACAGTAAAAGTAATGTGGGAACTTAACTTCAGATTGTGTGCATGAGGTATATATGAAAGATGAGTTCTTTGAATGTCTATGCCAAGGTTCTGTTTTCAGGATAACTCGCCACAGGTGTGAACAATTTTCAGAAATACGCAGAAACCTCAACTCTGAACCACATTTTGTTTCTGGGCATTTTAGATGAGTGTGCTTGACCTACATTAGCAAACTGGTGAGGTGAATGATTCTGCGGGCTTGGTAAGAGGTAAAAGAATATCTAGGGAAAGGACACAAAAATAAAGAAGCCTGAAAAGAAACCATTAGAGTGAATTTTATGAAATTGAGAATTTTAGGTTGATGTGATTATTGGTGGTAGCATTGACAGTGTGACACTTGGTGGTGAGCATGCATGGGTGGTTGAGGTCTGGTGTAGGAGCAGGACGGTAGGGGGAAAGCAGTCAGGCAGTACTGCTTGAGAAAGAGTGACAGGATTATGTCACTTCCTGCTTGCCACCAGGAGAGTTATTGAATGTGTGATTTCACGGTAAAAGCTTTAAAATGGCTGAGAGTTTTGAAGGAAAAGAAGGAAAAATGTGGAAGCAGAAAAAAATCAGTTCCAGGAAGTTTTAGAATAGGATATATTGTTTCATAACTGAAAAAATGTTTTGGTCTCAGAACTGCCTCAGTTAGCAGGTTTTAATTAGAGATATAATAAAAGAAGCTTGGCATCAGATAATTTTGCTGGTTTTAGACTGAATCTTAGTGTAGACAGTAAAAAGGCTTGGCAGGGCAGAGAGCATAAGTTAATTTAGTGGTTTTACCCAATCATTTAGCAGCAGAAATCTAGGGGAGGTTGGTTTCTGATGCTACCAGTTCAAGCTAAAATACAAGAACCATTAGTCAGCTGTTCCCTGGCCTTGTGTAGTATAGTCTCAGTCAAGGATAAAAGAATAATACTTCTCTTTCAGAGCACTTGGGTATATGCAAGACTTTATCCTGCCACAAAGTGAAGGGGGGAAGTTTGTATGGAGCATGAAGCTAGGAACCTCTGCCTTTGAAATATGGCGCAGTATAAAGAAAGACTCATTATTAAGGAGACTTTATTTCAAGTACAACTAAGCTTTTAATTAAAAAAAAAATCTTTTTCTTTGCCTAGGTCACTTTTACAAAGAGGAAGTTTGGATTGATGAAGAAAGCCTATGAACTCAGTGTGCTCTGTGACTGTGAAATAGCACTCATCATTTTCAACAGCTCTAACAAGCTGTTTCAGTATGCCAGCACTGACATGGACAAAGTTCTTCTCAAGTACACAGAGTATAATGAGCCTCATGAAAGCAGAACGAACTCGGATATTGTTGAGGTAACACTCATATTTAGTAATGTGTGGATTGCAAATAATACTTAACTTTAAAACAGTCACATTTCTTTGTACTTCTAATACATAAAACTACTTCTTAGAAGGACTGGTGTTTGATGTCTCCGTTGGGCTGTAAACTTCCTATGTATTCAAACAATGAAATAAGCTCTTTACTATACAAATCTAACATTTAAGCAGTATGATTTTTTAATCCATGATTACTTATTTATGCTTAAAAATGAATAGCTTTAATTTTAACACATCTTCGTTATTCCACTGTAATACATATCAGAGACAACTCACATTAAAGGAAGTAAATTTTAACGATGCCTTGTGTGTAGAGGCAGGGAGTTCTTGTTCTGCCTTATTTGTCCACAGTCCATTTAGTATCTCTCATAGTTTGTCATCCTAATTAAGTTTACAACAACAACAACAAAAGATTTTTGTTTCATTTTATTTGTTTGTTTTTAAGGCAGAGGTCTGCTATATAACTTAGGCTGGCCTTGAAGTTGCCACCATCTTTTTTCCTCTGCTTCATGAATACTTTGATTACAGGTATAAGCCATCTCACCCAGTTTCCCTCAACTTCTTCTGATGACATTTTAAGTCAACTTCACAATTACCTTTATGATTTTTCTTTATATTTAGAGGTTTTGCTTTAGTTTAATTTTTGAAGGGACTGTTTTCATTGCTTTAAAGAGACTTTCATTGACTTATGTCATATTAGAAAAAATTACTTAAATTAGGCATTTCCTTGGAGAAAGTACTGAAATCATCTAAAGATGACACACAGCTGAATGTAAGAGAACAAATGTATTTTGAGTTTAGATTTTACATCAGACAATTGAAATGAAGGTGAAGATACTTACAATTATCGTCATTGTGTAGGAATAAATTTTATCTGCCTTCCCACATAATATAGTTATGAAAATGCATTTAATTTTTTTCTGTGAGTCTTTCTGCATCTTAGGTTCCTCTTGAACATTGATTTAATTTGTTGCTGGAAATTTTTTTTCTTATATTAAAAAGTAACATTACTTTGTGTTTACTAAATGAATTGTTTCAAATGAGAAGTAAAAGCATGGCATAATTACAACCATGACCAGTTAACCCAGTTTTATTTAAGGAGTCACTGTTTAAGCCTCCTATGAAATTGGTTTGAAGTTGATTTTGCTTCTGTTAATCATTTTGTTATGACCATATCTTTAGGAACACTCTTTAATAGTTATGTCATTTGACAATTACTGTTATTTAGCACATATGTTCTAGCTTAGAACTTATTTACAATACAAATCATATTGTACAGTTTTCCCTGTTAGACTTCATAAACACATTTTGTACTATAATTTGGTAGATTATCTTAGTTTTGCTAGAGACTTTATGTGTAAATTTACTTGAAATGGAGAATATTCCTAATATGTTTCAAATGGCTTTTCATTTTAAACATCTACATATATCTTATTAAAAGCTTCACTACCTTTCCCTGAACAGAAGAGTAGAATTGTGAACAAGTAGGTTTGCTGTCTAGTTTCGTTGAAGAAAGCAACCACCCTCTTAACCCTAACTACTCTACTCTTTCATTGCAGCAGTGTTGTTCTTGGCCTCTGGAAATTGAGGGTTCTTCGCACAACCTAAAGCTAACTTCTTTAGAGAATGTGAAGAATATAATCTGGTTTAAGACTTTCAGAATTTTCAGACTACCTCAGTCTTCATCTCTGTTGTGGGCAGCAGTCAAAGTGTAAGAGAGTAAATCCCAAACATTTTTAGCAGTCTCCTATGTTACAGTTTGGTTCAGTATGTTTAATATGAGTGAAAACTTTGGCAGTTCGAATACCCTTTGGGATTTTTAGGTGTTTCTTTTTTTAATTTATGTGCATATATGTGTGCTTACATGAGCTAACATGTACCACATTTGTGCAACCCTGGAATTGGAGTTACAGATGGTTGTAAGCTACCATATAACTGCTAGGTACCAAACTCAGGTTCTCTCCAAGAGCAATTAAGTACTAACCTCTGAGTTAGTCTCCAGCTCCTATTCATTTGGATTTTGATGTTTTCTTTTTAGTGTTCCTTTACATTGTAGGCCAACATGAATCTTATTAATAGTTCTCTGCAGGTTATAATTTTATAGTATATAGGAATGACTATATTAAAAACATTATTGATTTGTTGTGGTAGAATAAACTTTAAGGCATTTTTATTTGTGGGCTTTATTCTTTGTTTCCATTTAGATAAGGTCTTACGTATTCTAGTCTGGCCTCCAACTAGATGGAGAATGACTGAGTCTTCTGCCATCCTCTCCTGAGTCCTGAGATTGTTGGTGTGTACCCTCACACCCAGCTTTTCTGCTGCTCGGGATCAAGCTCAGGTTCTCATGCATGCTAGATAAAACTCTTGCCCAATTGAGCTACAGTCCTAGCCTTATTTCACTGTACAGTAAAGTCTTACCAAGTCAATCTTAATTGTCTTCATAAGTGAAAGGAGCCCTGCCTTACCAGTTTGGATTTTACATCCAAGCAGGTGTCCTTTCACTTAAAAAGATGACGCAGTGTTGCCTCATTAGTTGTGGATATAAATAAGCTGTGTTCATATTGATGCATCTATAAGGATTATTGTGGGCCAAACTTAAGTATAGGTAACAGTAATGACAGAGCTTCTCATGAGCCAGACTCAACTTTATAATTACTCACTTGAGGAAGATTTAAAAATACTTGCATGAAGTTTTTTGTTCTTGTTGGTCATTGGTTTTACTTTGTTATACAGTTTTCCTTCAAGCACTTACAGTTGTAGGCAAGCACTTTGGTATCCATTTATTCATATGTCCAAAACATTTGTGGGTCTGTACTGTAGGCTTTGCAGGGAGTTGTTATTTAGAAACTTGTAATTAGGACCACAGTGACATCTTCTAACTAAAGATTTTATATAAATAAACTTCTAACAGATTTATAATGAGGTTTTGGGTTCCTTGGCTACCTTGTGTGGGTGAATAAACAAACAGGTGTAAACATTTGTAAGTAATCTACTTTCTATGCATTCTGTTCTGTTGGATCCTTAACCTACAAGTCCCTTTGAAATTACTATGAAAAGAAGGGTGGGCACATTGTGCTGTTAGCCACCTGCATATTGCTACATAAAAATAGATGTATTGAGTTAGTGGAGTGAGAGTAGGTGCTCTTTAAGAATACTATAAAAGTAATATTGTACAGTTAACCATCAACTAATAATGAAGATCTGAAACGCTATTAAATCTGAAGTATCTGGCACCAATTATTTTGGATAAGGATAGTTGGTGTTTGAATATTTTAGTTACAAATATTAAACAAATAGAATATTGTTCTTTCTAATTTTGTGTCTGTTTTATAATTAACTAGTCTAATATTTTAATTTAAAATAAAAATTTATTAGTTAGTAAGAATTTTTATGTTTATATGTATATAAATAATTATTCCCAAGAAAGCTGAATGCCTACATAGGCCCCTTAACTTACAGTGTGCTTATTTCCGAGAAGTCCAGAAATTGAAAATATTGGGTGTTTGTCTGATGAGGAAGACTCTCTGAGAGCTGTAGCTCTGCCCCGTCAGTACCCTGTCAGAATACTGCACTGCATAGTACTAGCCCCAGAAAAGTACTTTTTCTACTGGATGCTTATGCTTTTGTATTACTGCACAATTAAATTTTTACGGAAATTTATATATTTGTTAATTGGGTAATTGTCATTAGAGTTCTCTTTGTAAGAGATTTTATGACTTGATTTCTTTGAATTGACAAGCCAGTGCTACATTTAAAAACCACATCTTATTTAAAATGTTTATATACAGCTTTTTAAAAATGCATTTTTTTAAAAAACTGAGACTTAATGCTTTATGCCTTCTTCATTTTTAAACTGTTGATGAGTTTATTTATATCAGTATCAAGAATATTTAATTATCATGTAGGTAAAACATTTAAAATTCCATTGGAAATATGAATTTTAAAAATAAACAGTTTAATTTTAAAATGTCAACAGTGAGACATCATTCTTCCACTCTATCATTCATTTATAAGGGAAAATATGTAAATGCCAAAAAATATATAAGAAAGGACTCATAGTTTTCCAAAACATACTTAAGGATTATGAAGCAAAAAAATTTTTTTTATTATTCTTTTATATTAATATTTTTTAATTTTTAAATAATTTTATTCATTCACTTGTATCCCAGCTGTAGCCCTCTCCCTCCTTCCCTCCCAA